TTTGCTTTTTAGATGATTTTGTGTTAGTGAAAATTTAGTTTTGGAATTACGAGTTTGCAAAATGGTGAATATTTTAGCTTAAGGCTGTCTGTCATGCTTCAGAGTGAAACATACTTAAGTGTAAATTCTTGAGACAGTCAACTTACTGTAATGGCTGGGTCAGTAATCATTATCATTGTCTTCCTATGCATGATGCTTTTAAATTCTGAATTTTCATCTATTCAAGCTTTAAATAAACGTCTACGGGTTAGATAAAATAAATTTACTGAAGTAAAAACGAAGAGATTTAGTTTGAATTTTCAAAAATGCGCCATCACTAGTAGAACCTTTATTACACTGAGATGAAGGTGGAAATTGAAATATATAGCCTTACCTTGTGCTAAGCCGAAAACGGAAGTGAACTATTACAAAAGGTGATAAAATCAGTCCAAATACTCAGTTGTTACAAGCCATCACTAGCGAGTGAGGGAATAATACCAGGGTGTTTCACAACTTTAGTTGAAATAATTAATCAGTGTTAACTTGACTTTTTTATCACACAATTCAATTGAATATGTTTTTATATAATACAGTTTTGAGGAACGAAATGGTCAACAGTGAAGTGAGTGCTTTTGGTCGTAAAGTTATCATATCATCAGATTCTGAACTGTCTTGTTATTCCATAGTTAACAGATTTATCTGAGCTTAGGAAGGAAACTGTCTTCTTTTTTCTCAGTAAAGCATAGCATCCAAAAAGGACCATTAGATTCAAATAGTTACAGACACTGGTTTCCTACAGTAAGAAGTAGCTGAAACTGTGTCTTTCTGCTGCTCTGCTTTCATCACATCCTCACAGATCTTGGCACCGAAAGGATCTTCAAAAGAAGTGTTTTAGTGTTTTCCTCACTAATTTAAATCAACCATAGGAGTGTTAAAGGACAGTCAGTGTTTCCAGCTTTTGAACTCTAGCTCCTACATATTACATATTATTGACTACATTTATGATAGAAAGTTGAACTGACAGATTTCAACCTCGTCCTGAGTACTGACAGCTCATCACGAAAGGACATTCAGACTGTTTAGTTCTCTATGGTTTGGAATACTTTTCTCTGAGATACCGAGTAAGGTTGAAAATCACTTTAAAATAGAAGCACTCTGATCACTAGCAACTCAAATGAGATGTTTTAGTAAACTGCTCTAACTTTTGTGAATTGGACAAAAAGTAAAAAATGCGATTCGTCTTGGAAAGCCTAGATAAGGTTTAACTACGGTCTTACTACAATATAGTGGATTATTTCAGGTGAACTACACAATTCATATGGAAAGACGATTAGCTGTAACCTCAGAATGTACTAATAAGTTAACTAGTCCACTTTTTGGTAGGTATATATAAGCGATACAGCTAATCTTTGTAACTGTCAAATCGGTAAGTTAGTAGTGGTTAGTTTACCCACAAATAAATGAATGACTGGTTAAATGTATAGAATACACCAAAAAATAAACCATATATTTTATTTTTTATTACAGCTTGATTCCACACTGTATTTTTGGTATATGTATGGAATTTTCAGCATGTGATATCGGTAGCCCAGGTTTTGCAGGCCGACCGTAGATATCAGGTGTGCGTTGGCAGGAGATCGAACCCCGGACCATGTGCATGGTCGGCGAGAGTCCTAACCATTGTGCCACCGACGCACATTATTATGACATCGGTCAGTAGATGGTTCTTGTCAATTTAGCTTCTACACTTCTAGTGGTAGTGGGTAAAAATCGTTCAAATTGTTGAGAATCCATCCTTGTATCTGGCGTTCTTCCTTTAGGAATTCATCAATTATCCATGTGGATCACCCATATATTGTTATTACTTTCAGTTGTATTTTTTCGGTTGAATGAATACACCGCTAATAAATTTCTCCTCACTTCTATTCATTTAAGCAAAAGTGTCTTTGTTATAAATGTCTGTGTGCATTTGTGTCAGTTACACAACCGTCTAAGCCATAATACATATAAAGAGAGATTTCAACTTCAATTTTTCCTGAATAAATTTTTATCCTGAATTTAACTTGAAGAATACAGATGCTTTCAGTTTTCTTCCCTACTTCCATCTTGTTATTAAGGCTTTTTCTCCACAAAGACAGAAGGCGAATCAATAACAATTTTTAAACAAACAAACAAACAAGAAAGAATATATGATGTAAAAAAAAGAGTAGTAAGCTGGTTTATGGTGAATTAGTAATTATGAACATGATAGTAGTGACATAGTTAATTAACAATAAATTCATTCGGGCTTTTTGTTTCTCAATAAGAATAAGAATTTAGAGTATTGTTCATCCAGCCTGAATAATACAGCCTTAATGAATCCAGTGCGATTATACTGCTAAACTAATGTGTCTGTTTGACTAACGAACAGAACTTACACTAAAAAAAAATCAAGAAAATTGCTCAACACATTGGGTTCTAACAGTCAGTACAATCTCATTGTTAAGGTTAGATAAAAGATAGATTTGCCACTAAGTGCTTTCGGAAGTAATAATCTCTCAGTAGTCAGTTTCCACTTATCCGGCTAGTGAATGCAGTACAATACTTCAAATTGAAGTATGCGCTGAAGATGTCACCCAGTAAGGTGATGAAAGCTTCGCAAACTAACCATCCAGCTCAGAGAACAAAACCACATCAAAAGTATCAGCGCATGACTTTCAGTCCTTGTTACACAAAAATTACTTTAAGTGTACTTACTATCTTTCTGCTTTCGTTTACCTCCCAGATTTTACCCATTGCAGGGATTGAATCTAATGCATCCATATTTAAGGATCTACACCAGTCTGCCTATTTGCCAACTTTAAATTATCCTCTGAGAGCGTATTTCACAAGAAACACTACCGATTTCATTGCTATGTGTATAAGTATGAATATTTGACAACTTTAAAAAAGATAGCTACTTACTATATGAATGGTTTTACCAACATTCCGAGCAAACGCATATCCCATTTAAGATTCTAGACTGATGTGATCTGAAGGTGATTTCGTCTTGACACAATGTCAACTACAGAAATAATAAGAACCATTCGAAACCATACAGCCGTTTCATCTCAGTTTCAGATTATTCATTGTTGTCGAACAGTGACTTTAATAAGACCTCATGTCAGAATTACCAATTTTTTTCACAGAAACCGCTACTGCTCACTATTACCATCATAGCCACTATTCAGGTTCATCAAGGGAGAGAATAAAGCCAGGCATAAAATGCTATCCTACACTTCTTATTTTTCCACAGTAGTAGTCAAGGTGATTCCGCTACTTGTGGATATACATATAACCAAAGAAGACTGGAAGTCTTGAGGGGCAAATAATTCTTTCCATAAGGAAAAGCGTGTTAGACTGCAAAATATGTAAGTTCGTTTTTTTCCTACACTGTTTTCCAGATAAACTCACCAGGTACTATTCGTAAGCCATTTGATGACCCACCGGCAGCAAGCTACTCAAATCAACAATTAAGTAGCATAATGTTACCTTACACAATTTCATTGCTATAATCGGGAATTACTATAGCGTTTTATGTTCAGATAGCTTGATTAGAAGACGAAGTTAATTTCTTAGTTTTTTAGAATACACTCAACGCGAATTTGTATTTAGTCCAAGGTGAAGTGCCTGAAAAATCTGAAGTTCATAGTGAACAACCCGACACTAATTAAAATAACTGTCTATGATTGTAATATTCTCAAGGACTAATTCGTGAAACATTTAGGCGATTCAAATAAAAAGCTTAATAAAACTGTTACGGCTCTCAAACAATAGGTACGATTCATTAACTAGGACAGATTTATTATGAGTTCATAGTTTCCAATACATTAAAAGCATAGGTTAATTGTTTTGTGACCTGACCAACTAATTGTTTGTTTAATCATGCTGTTTTCCGTTATTCTTGTTATCACAGATCGCCTCACTTTTTCATCCTTGTTATCGATAAAACCATTAATATTATTATTATCACAACTATTATGATTAATTGCACAATTTCTATACACAATCTATTATCCTACTGACAAAAAGAACGTGATTGTTTTATTTTCGAATATTTCTTTGTAAAGTTCCGTATATTAGAGTTAGGCCTGATGAGATCTAATTGAAAACAATATTGTTCGCTTGAATGTGTTGTTCCAAGTATTTGAATGACAATACCATTCATTTCATATGGTGGAATCATACAGTCAGGCAGACAAATGGATAGATGGAGATATTAATAAAGTCAGATCTGACACTACAACATGAACGGTTAAAATTGTCACATTCCACTCTTACACATCGTGTAGAGGGGAAGAAGGAGAGGAAGAGGAAGAAAGACTGAGAACTGGAAAGAATATCACTGAAGTTTGTACACACCACCTTGATATGATTATGAGCAATAAACTGTGCTCGAAACGTCATCAGTAAACATTACTGTATAACACTGTGAGACTTTATCACAAAATTTACCCATAATGGAATTTGTACACACCAGTTAAGCAAAACGATAGAAAAATGGTATACAAAAGCTAGTATAAATCTCTGTCTTACAACAGCAGTCATAACTATAAACTCCCTCGTGTATGGGATTCACGGACAAACGTTTTAGTCGCAGCCTAAATGTCATATGATACTTCTAAAAGGCCTGAAAGTTGGAACACGTTTTATAGTTCTAAAGAACAAGTTGCTTCCGTCAATTCCACGAAGAACCCAGTCAGTAAAATACACTAGAATAAATAATCTCAGTCAAATTTAATTTAATATTGGATAAGTTTATTTGATATGACAAACAATAACAATCTACAGTGGCATAACTTGCAGATATTATTTATTTATACTGAATGCATGCGGAATCTGTCCACATGTATGCGTGACGCTTGTATCACCAGTGTATATTAATATAAAAATTAAAGAGGAACCTGTACATGCGTGAATTATTGCAGAACATTCACACATATAAGTGTGACACAACTACTCACGGCATAAAAATGAATTGATAAATAAAAAGGCAAACTTACTTGATTATTTGCTGGCAAGCAGTCGAGAATATTTAACACAAGTTTTGCACCACTTTGTGTAAATCCAGGCAGTGCTATTTGCATAGCATCATAGAACATGGGATATAATGCACTAGTGAACAGTGGTTCTGGTAGTTCTCGAAGAAAATCTTTGAAAACAGCTGTTAATTGACAAAAGAAAGAAAGATTTTATTCAGAGTTGTCTGGAACCGATATTTCTGTGATAAATTATACGAACACTTTTTAATATATATATATATATATATATATATGTTTATGTAAAGGGGGGATAGTGAAAACGAGACAAAATTTCAAATGTGTAAATAGATTAATCTTGTCATTCATAACTGTTTATACTTTGTCAGTCTGTTTAGTTAGAGTTCCGTTAGTTTGAATGAATTCAACTCTCCGGTGTGAATCACTCCAAGTACCTCGTAAATGAACTAGTGAAACATCTGTTCGCTGTTTATATTAGTCGATATAATTGGTGAGCGCTAGTGGTCTCCAGCTACTTATATCAGTCACTGGAATGTATGATCTCACAATTTGCAAACTAGTGTGAGAAGTTTATAGTTTACGGTCTGCTGATTTCCTGCTTTCGCACAAATCTTTCCCGTGTTTCGTGATTGAAAAACCTTATTTGTATTGTCAACAATAATAAAAAGAATTAGCATACATGGTTCCCTTACTTTATCGAAAAATAGTTTATCTTACACCAAGTGAATCAAGTTCTAATTAGTGAATGGGTTCGGGTTCTTCCTTTTTGTCATAGAATCCAGAGGATTTCTAGAAACAGTTTCTGTACCATTTTAATTTTTATAATGTCATATTTCTCACTAGATGTGATTTCTGTATTTGTGAACTCTGTGTCTATAGGAAAGTTAATTTGTTAGGCATTTATCCTTTTAATTTTGTCTAGATGTGTGAGTTGAGATAACATTTTCTATTCCAACAGTATTTTTTATTATTTTTTTTATTCCTTCACCTTCCCAGTGGAACATAAGGCTTCAAGTTAGAGGTTTGAAGTTTCTGTAGCAGTGGTGATTATTTTTACAGGAAAGGGTTGCTAGCCTCATGCCCTACTACTGGCTTATACAGGTAAAAGAGTGCGTCGGCTGGGGATCGAACCCTGGACCAAATGCGTGGTTAGGGAGCATTCTATCGCTGTGCTACAGACGCACACAAAGATCATATAGAAAAAAAATAACCTGACATAGAACACAAATGGAAGAGGTGATAAATGTGCCTGAAAATGACAAATATTAGACTGTTACGCAACAGCCGGATGACTAAGCTACTTCATCTGGAACAAACCAACTACTATACACAGTTGTGCATTACAAAGTTTCAACAAAATAAAAATAATTGTGAAACTAGTAATAATAACATAAATAAGAAAGAATATAAGTCATCCACAGTTATACCATATAAAGTGGGGACATCTGAGACACTACGTAGGATTCTGAATAAAATAGGAATCAGGGTGGCATTTAAACCTACAAACTCACTCAGGGACAAGCTCTGTAGGTTAAAGGACCCAGTTGACCCAATTAAACAAAATAATATTATTTACAAAATACCATGCAATGACTGTGAGGTCAACTACATAGGTCAAACTAGTAGGTCAGGGGTAGTCAGATTGTCAGAGCATAAGAATTTAGCTAAGGTAAGAATGGTTGACCCCGAGAAGATAAGTAATTTAGAAAAAAGCTCAGCAATTGCAATGCATGCGCTAACACACAACCACACAATAGAGTGGGAGAGGGTTAAAATTCTAAAAAGTAATCTAGGTAAATGGAGAGAGAGGTTGGTTACTGAATCCTTGTTCATCGAGTCTACACCCAACACATGCAATAGGAATGACTCGTCACTCATACCTGAGATATGGAAAATACTATTACCAATCAAATCAAGTGAAAATCAAGAGAAAAACAATGGAACTATATAAATGAATTTAGGAAGTCGTGTGATTACCTTGATATGATTATAAGCAGTAAATTGTGCTCGAAACGTCATCAGTAAACATTACTGTATAACACTGTGAAACTTTATCAAAACAAAATTTACCCATAATGGAATTACACTCTACCACAGTGCACAAGTTTTATTCTTATATTAAGTTTCAACAGAAACTAACTGTGCAAGATAGTCTCATAGTATCACTCGTAATAATCACGTGACTAAATGCCTCTGTTATCTGATTTCTAAAAGATTGTCTACGGATTTTAGTTCTGTTCAAATATATAACAACATATACTCTTAAGCAAATGATGTCATTCACAGCCTAGTGTGCAAGCCTGTATGGTTTAAACAATTTACATTGTTGTTTCACTCATTTCTATTTGAAGAGTACCTCATGAATCTAAAGAGACAATAAGTCAATGAAAAGCTTTCTTAACAATAAAATCACTACAAACATCTGACATTAGATGAAATGGGCAAAATTAAACTTTAAGCACCAGTAAGTACCAACGGAAAAATGACCTCGAACTCACCAGCCACATGATAAAGGCGATTTTCGAGAATAAAAAGTAAATATATTTGTGAAAATAATGAATTAAAATGCATGCAGCTGTTACACAGGATACCTTTCCTTGACGTGTGACATAAACACCTACGATTTGGGACTGGAATTTCAACAGTCATTTAACCATATAAAATGCGTGTGATTACCTAGGTCTTCTAATCCTAACAATAACTCTAATCTTCCTTTAACCTAACTCAAACGTGAAAATATCCCTAAACTAACTGTAATCTGACTCGAATCAAACCTAAAACCGCCCTCATTAGATCATTGGTATTATTATTATATCCTTTAATTCCTAGAGGAACATAGGGCTTCAGCCACGCGTCTCCATTGCCTTCGGTTTTCTGCCAACTTTTTCACTCCGCTCCAAGTCTACCCACATGATTTCATCTCCTCTTCATATGACCTCCTCCAAGTCACCCTTGCACTGACGACCAACTCGCCGCCCACTCCCCTTTCGGGTTCCACTCCAGCAGTGGCCTGTCTTGTGATGTCACTTGATGGTTCCTTTTCTCAGAGTATGGCCAATCCAATCCAACTCCATTTCTTCCTGCCTATTTGTTTCACAATCTGTTCCTGCTGAGTTGGTTCACTCATTGACAGAGATCCCTGTTCCTGATCTTTTCTGATCAGCATCTGATCTTGAGTATTGAGCGGAGACAACTGTTAACGAAAGTCTGAAGTTTGTTTGAGATGCTCTTTATGACGCGCAGTGCAAGTCTCTGATCCCTATAGTGAATAGCACTGACTTCACATTGGAGTTGAAAATCCGGATCCTATTTTCATTTTCATGATGAGTGCTACTGACCTCCACACCGACTTGAGAGTAATGAAAGCTTGCCTTGCTTTCTCGATCCTCGTTTTGATATCCTCATCAGTTCCGTCGGCCTGTAGTTGAAATGATGCTTCCCAGGTCGGTGGTTAGGTAAAGGAGGTTGTTTCTTTCAGGTTCCTACCATTTACTCTGGCTGATTGTTGTCTGTTGTTGTTGCTGTAGCTGTTGGTGTTGGCCAGGAATCTTCATCACCTCTGTTTTATCTATGTTCACTTGAAGTTCTATCTTTGATGCTTCTTCTGCCAGCTTGTTGCTTTTCATCACTTGCATATCTTCCAGTTTGTTGAGAAATCAGACATATTTCATCGGCGAAGTCCAGATCCTCCAAGTTTTTTGTGTGAATCCATTTTATGCCTGTTTCCTCATTGACCGTTGTCTGTCGCATTATCCAATCTACTGCAATCGCCCTCATTAGATTAACCTGACCCTAAACTATCCCTAGACTAAACCTTAATGTGATCTTTCTCAAACCTAACCTAGAACATGGCAGATATCCCATTAAATAATATAACACTTCAGTAAGCATATTTTATTCAGGATTAGGATATTATTTACCAGGTTTCACTAACTTGCTCACTAAGCGTTTCAAAGTCATTGGTGAGGTCGTACTCCACTGGTACTTATTGGTGCTTAGAGTTTAACTTGGCCATGAAATGAAATTGTACAGATCAATGGATGATAAAGAATCTCCAACAGTATAGAATTCACAATTTCCAAGAAATATAAATGCGGCATTCCAAGGGTTGCCCGAATCATACAAAAATTAGTAAGTTAGTAAAAATATAACGTGTCTTTTTATTCAGTGGTCTCTAAGCAATGATCATGCCTAAGCTGAGCTGAAGCTATCTGTACCTGAAGCAAACTAGTTACTGTATGCATTAGGTACTTTCAGTCCTAATGAATTTATAACCTAATAACCTAATATCCGAAGCAGATTCGTATGACTGTTAATGTTGTAGCTGAAAAATAAGGTTTGGAGTATTAACCAGTTAGGTGACAATAACGAAGTGAATAGGTGGTGCAAAGCCAAAATGGTGATAAAGCTAAATAATTCTAAACATTTCGCGACTACCAGACATCATCTCATCCCAACATACATTTGTATCTCTTTTTGTTATATGCATGGTAAAATCAGGAGGTTCAACCGTATTGAATTCTAACGGCAAATGACTTTAATTAAATTTCTGGATGTAAGTAGAAATATAATTTATGACTGTTTCAATCCATTAAGATACATATCGCACTTCAGGTACTTATTGAATATGTTCACCAACTCGTGATCATTTACGTATGGAAACATAGCTATCGTGTATCGCCTGTTCGACAACGAACACTGCACTAGCATTTAGCTCTCAACTAAAAAGCATACTTATCTGGCTTGAGGAGTGTGGAATGTTTCTAGAGGAGACAGAGGAAAATTGGTATGTTTCCAAGCATAAAATAACGTTATGACACTCACATTTACTCACATATGCATACAAATTATCATTATTAGTTGGTTTAAATTAAAAATTCTCATGTACTTATAACGCTTCCATTTCCTATCATCACACACCGTATTAATTAATGGATTGACTACAATTTTATCTTTAAGGGGAGATTTGGTTATTTCATTTATACTGTACAATGAACATCTCAAAAAGAAACAATGGTGAATTTATGACTGAAGGCAGGGAAAGATTGGTCCAGAAACCTCAGAGGATGTAGTGACTCCACTGTTTGAGAATGTTTGAAAGGAAAGGTGCCTACTGATCGGAAGGAAGGCTATCTTGTCAAACTACCAAAGAAGGGCAACTTAG